CTATGGTTGGGTCCTGCTCTGGCACGTTCTCGGCGCTGGTCTTGTTGCGCTGCAGATCTGGACCGCTGTCAGCGTTTATGACTCCCTAGGCGAGTTTGGCTGGTTCTTCGGTGACTTCTTCTATGACCACCAGGCCAAGCTGACCTACACGTCCATCTACCGTTTTCTGAACAACCCCGAGCGCGTCTTCGGCACCGCTGGGTTGTGGGGAGCTGCCCTTATCACATGGAGTCGAGCCATTTTCGTCATGGCCCTCTTCAGCCAGATCCTGACCCTAGGATTTATCGCCTACGTAGAGAAGCCCCATATGCAGAAGATCTACGGCCGCAGCCTCCGTGAAGAGGCCGGCTTGACCAAGTTCATCAAACGATCGCTTCCGCCCCCTGTTCAGGGTTGGCAACGTGGTGTTGACAAGGTCCTGGACGACACGTCGCATTTCGTGGAGGACTTCCTCGAGGCCGCTCGTCCCAAGTTCACATCAGGTGTCAAGACCATTGTGCGTGACACGACAGCCCTGTTCAACACATATCCTGCGCGCTTCACCATCACTAGGCTCTCGCTCGACCTTGCTGGCTTCAACCCCAAGCACTACTCTCTGGTGGTGGAGGGAACTCCGTCTAGTCTATCCGCGGCCAACGAGCGCGCGACTGGCAAGGAGAGCGTCACGGCCCGGTTTCCTCATCGGGTCGAGACGCTCATGTTCGAGTATGGTGCACCTCTCAAGGTGAAGTGGCGGGCCCCCGCGAATCACGGCAGCAAGGACTGGATCGGTCTGTACATGGTCACAGACAATCACTCGCGAGAGGCTACCGAAGTTCCCTCGCTCGGTCGCTGGGTTCCTACAACCCCCGGCCAGTATGACGCTACCGCCGACAAGGCCATCCTCGTTCCCGACCATCCTGTCTCCTCCGACGGCTCGACTACCCTCGTCGAAGGCGAGGTTGTATTTGAGGGTGATCGTCTCTGGTGGACGTCCGGCGTGTTTGAATTCCGCTACCATCACAATGGCAAGCACAACGTCATGACCATATCTCAGCCCTTTGAGGTTCGTATCGGCCGCTTCGACGAAGAAGATGTTGAGGTCGACTCGCTAGGCGTCTACGAGAAGGCCGTTGAACAGGCCTTGTTGCCACTTGTGCGAAACTGCCTTGACCGCGATCCGGATATTGCACCCACGACGGTCGACGAGCCCTTTGGCGGGCACGTTGAGCGGGACAGCAAGTATGCGAAGCGTGTTGTGTATGCCATTCACCAGGCATTCGGTGTTGAGTTCGCGCCGGCCGTTGTGCCGGCGGACGGCAATGTAAAGAAGCTGGCGTGGCGGATTTGCAACGCGAAGCAAGTCTTGGTAAGTCTCGCGATTCGTGACTCGCAACATTAGGTCGACTAACGTATTCAGGCGCCCTACAGCATGTCTCCATCCAAGGGAACGACAACGCCATTAGAGAAGGTTGAAGCATAGCGTTGCATGAAGAGCCTTTGCAAAGAGAGGCGGAGTCCAGCATAGAGTGGCAACAACGAACAGAAAATGATACCAGCGTAGAGATTTGGTGGTCAGTTTTGGGTAGGAGTAGAAAGAATCAAGTTGAATTCTGGGTATTTTTGCTGGCCCATGAGTTGTGCTGCCCATGCCCCTCTGAACAAAGCGCCCTGTTTCCTCACGCCTTGTCTTCCTGTAATGCTTCCGATCAAAACACCCAGCGCCGAGCCGATCTCCCATATGAGACAATGCTCGTGTCGGACAGGCCGGCCATTGTAGACGGATCTCAAGTTGCGCCTAAAGGCCTGACTGATTAAGCCGGCCGGACCCCCGCATGGTCTTCGGCCGGCTGAGCAGATTACCCGGCGCCCAGTGCTGCCTCTCGCCGGCAGCTCAGGCCACGATGTCACTCCCCTCACCGCCCCCTTGCTCAGCGTTCCCGAGGCCCAGCCGGCCGGCAGGTTCTGTCGGTAGGATAATGTCGAACTGCCGGAGTGCATTTACCCAGAGGATGTGATGAGACGGCAACGCTGCAGGTCGGTGGACGGACCGACACACATCTTTGGGTGAGGCTGTCCTATAGTCCAATACTGGGCGTCTTAAGGCTTTGGTGAGAAGGGTCAATCAAGGTGGGTGTTAGATACTTCCAAAAAAAAAACAATGCAAGACAGCGCACCGCGTGTCGTGGCTTGAAGGGTCAGCAGGGCGGACGGCTGAGCGTGGCATGCCAGGATCCTTCGCGATTCATGCATTTGTATTTCGTTGTACACTGAGAAGTTGCAATGCAGTAGGGAGTAGGGGGGTGGTGGCAATCGCCTGGATAAGGGGTGTGTGCATTGTGTTTTTTTTTTCCGATGAATGATACACCCGTCACGTCACAATGCAACGATGGTAAGACGGACTTTCTGGACTGGCGCTTGTTTGCAGCGACGACACGGAGCTTTCTCATCTCCCTTCTCTACCTATAGCTATGCTGTCACTCTCTTGTTGGTTGGCACTGGTAGGCTTGAATAGTGCCGGACCGGGGCGAGGCTTCGATTCATCCTCTCGTCATGATCGATTCGTGGAACTCAAAAACTGGTCGACATGCGAGGGCCAGGGGCCCCGTGACGAGCAGCCGTTCTCGTTTCGAGCGGACCCGTTGACTGCTTTGGGAAGCCTCCATGTGACACTGCGCGTGGCGGGGCGGCAGTGCTTGGTGTCGAGATACCGAGATCGACTTTTCGAGCACACTATCGATGGTAGCTCATGTTTGATAGATTAGGTGTGTTCTGGAACTAGCAGGCAGCCTGTGTCGGTCAGCCTTTTGGGGGAAAGGCGATCACCGCTCGGGTAGATGGAAGACGATCCGCAGGACTCGTTCTCTGGTAAGGGGGTGCAAATCGCGAACTTGACCGTTCTATTGACCCTTCAGGAGCACTCCCAAGGATGTTCTTGGAGAGCATCTTACATTTCACCATTCCATCATTTATTCCTGATTGTTTGTATCTGTTCAAATTTCTATGTTGAAGAAGCTATTCTGAGGCCCTGGGTGAGGCACTCCATCCAGCTGAATTGTTTGTCATTGTCGTGCTGATGGTCTTTCTCGGATTGAACCCTCTACTTCATCCCTGTTGAGATACCTCCCCACATCACCCAGACCCATGGCCCCTTTAGGAACACCCAAACATTATATATTGGAGAGAACCTTAAAGACTCAAGCTCTATGGCACGACAACGACTGTCTTCTCTGGGGGAAAAGCCCTTGAGCGTCCTCTCTCGCAAACATGAAGTATTGACATGAATTCCCACGTGTCCAACTCCCCCAGGTGCGACGCCTCCTCTACGCATACGAGTCGAACAGCTGCTGGAACTTGATACGCGTGGCGTCGTCTCCCACCCAGACGTCCCTCGCCCTATCGACGACCTCGACGTGGTTGCCAATGTACGTCGCGACCATGCCGTTGCCCGGCGCCGACTTGTCGATGAAGACGTGCTCGTCGGGCTCAACGACGGCGGTGTAGTAAGGGTGCGAGAGCATGGCGCCGAGGACCTCGGGCGCCTCGTACAGGAACATGGCGATGCCGTCAAAGTCGACGAGCTCGTTCGACACGGGCTCCGCGGCGCCGGCTACGGTGGCGGGATCTTGCCTCCGACCTGGACCTGAGCGTTGGGGCCATGCGTTAGAAGGAAATATCTTCAAGTCCCGGCAACGTGACGACGGAGCAAGGAAGGGGTCAAGGGGCTATGGTGGTTGCTTTTTACCTGCTGGTAGCGGCTGATGTTGAAGTGCGCGGCCAGGGGCGCGACCCTCGGCGCGTGCTGCGTCTGCCAGTAGTCCCAGAACTCCTGGCGCGTGAAGTCTGGGTGACGCTTCACGTAGGTCACCATCTGCAGGAGGCCGGTGTTGCTCTTGCACGTGGCGAGCGTGGCGCCGAACAGTGCCGCCGCCGCGACGGCGAGCATCGAGTTGACGCGGGCCATTGCTTTCTTTGAGGAGGGTGACGGTGGTCCGTTGGTTTAGGCTGACAGGTTCTAGGGGAAGATTGGCTCGCAGACAGATTGCACACGTGGGAGACGAGGAATTATGGGAAATTCCAGAGTGCAACGGGGTGGCTTTTGATAATCCAAACACCGAGCTGTGTGATATTCGTCAGGACAGGGGCGAGTGTGCTTGTTGGTCGTCGCTTGCAGGATGACAGGGCTAGATGCAGAGTTGAAGCATGGGTTGACAAGAGTCTGGCCATCTACAATCGGTGGCATCCGACGGCAAGGGGCATCGCCAAGCGGAGAGGCTTGTCTTGTCATGGCTCTTTCGGTCTGAACACGGCGACGATGGCTCTAATGTAGCCTTCACATTGTCCTCCTCATCAAAATGACCAGCTCCATTGCAGGCAGGAGAAGGGTCATCTGACGTTGACGACCGGAATTCCAATTCGTTCATCTTGACAGTGAGCATAGTGACATGCTCTTAGGCCCGCAGCACAACTTAAACGCAACGGCGGACTAAAGGGCTAAAGAAATCTTACTATCATCAACAAATCCCGCTTTTACAGCGGGTTTCCACGGTGGTCCAAGGTCCAGAACAGGACCCTGATCCCACCCCCGGCCGAAAAGCCGGGAAGAGACGCCGGAAACAGGGGTTGGCTGTTCCGGCCTCCGACAACCCCTGCGCTCCGGGGCTTCAAGAACCAACTGCATACAAATTTGCCAACAGAGCTGCTTTCTTGGCTTTTGGTTGGGCCGCGAGTCAACAACCCCTGACACGAAAGAGCAAGACGGGAATGACAATAATTGCTTTGAGACGTACTTGTGGGCTTGGAACTCCTTCGCCTGGCGAAGGGCAATCTCTTGTGCGTAAAGTTTAATCCCTTGGCTGCCGCTGTGCGGCGCAGCAGCGGCATTCGTCCAATGCAGGAGGTGCCGTTGTGCTGATCGCATCTGGGAGACCAACGGTCATGAATACTCCGCAGCATCTACCCTTGTTTTGGTATCAAACTGGTGGACGACGTGAGGAAGACTCTCGACATGGATTTGGGCTTCGTTCCCAGGGTGCACAGCGAAGAATTCAACCAGCGTCATGGGTTGGTTCTTCAGGAGGATTTCGACCATCGAGAAGTCGTGGCGATCTATTCCCCCAAAATTAGGTCCTGAGCCACGAACCTCATAAATTCTGAAAGGTCTTCATTCTGATACTGTCTTAGCTTGCCTATCGTCTACAACTATCTCGTAGCGTCTCTTTCGGCGTGCAGCAATCAACGTCATGTCCTTTCCAGTGACCAACGGTGTCACAACTTTCATATCACCGCCGGACGGCTATGAAGTGAACTTTGATAAGCCTCAGCAGCAGAACGTGGTTGACCACTTTTTTATTTTCGGCGTACTCGGATCCACGGCGCTCGTTTGCTTGATGCAGAGGCTGTACACGAAGCAGGCTCTGGCGGGCGGCTTACAAGTTGACGATGGTCAGTCTCCCTTCCTACGTCAAGTGCTCTAATTCTCGTCTGGCACTAACCAGGGGCATTCACAGTCTTGATTACTTTTGCATGGGTACGCCAAAGATATGATGTGCGAAGATGGATTGTAGTGATTAACTCGAAGGCAGATGGCCTCTGTGGTGATGCAGTCGGTCCAGATCTGTAAGTTACGTTTGGCTTCCCACCTAGCGCAGTAGTACGATGGCTAAACCCCCGTCTCTCAGGGTCCATTTCACTTGGTGGTTTGGGGCATCATGCTTGGGAAATGCCAATCGATGTGTTCGAAAAACACATGCTGGTAAAGCGTTCTACCTTTCAAAGTCCTGTTTGACTCCAAGCTAACAATGGCGGCTGGCAGAGTTCTTACATTGCCGCCCCGATCTTCATCACCTGTAATGGCCTCAGAAAAACCTCACTCCTGACACTATACCTTCGAATATCGCCGCAGAGGTGGTTCAATATCATCATCTGGTTTGCCATCGCCATGGTTGCCAGCTACACTGTCACCATTGCGGGGTTGCTACTTTTCGGATGCAAGCCGATCCGGTCTGCGTGGGACCCTTACGCTACGGGGAAATGTGTCGACTTTCCCGTGGTATACATTGCTATCGCTGTAGCCAACATTGTGTCCGACGTTGTTCTTTTCGTGATACCAATTCCGACCATCATCAAATTGAAGATGCCACTGGCTCAAAAGATCGGGGCGGGCATCATGTTCGGCGTTGGTTCGGTGTAGGACTCGCCCCTCAGTGTCCCGAGATGAATTAGTTCTTGTTACTGACAGAAAACAAAAGGACTGTAGCAACATCGGTCGTGCGGATGGTATATCTTCCGTCCCTCCTCGGATCCTCTGACATTCCATGGGTTGCTGCCCCCGCCAATGTTTGGTCGTAAGTCACTGATTCTGACGACCGGAAATGAAACTAATGATCGAATGCACTGACACTATTCAGTTTCGTGGAGGTCAATCTCTTTGTTATGTGCGGTTCGATGCCCACATTCCGGAAGTTCTTGAAACGCTTTGCCCCCAAGCTCATGGGCTCCTCGTATGGCACTTCTCGTCCCTCGCGATCAGCCAAATACGCCGACGGCTCGCAGGTCAAGCCACACTGGCAGCAACGAACAGGTTATGCGCAGTTTGACTCGGTCGAGATGGGAGGCTTAAGAGCCGATGGCGGTGAGCAGCAGGTCGGAGCAGGCAGCACCGTGGTGTCTGTGAGCGTCGCTGCGAAGGACCTGAATGATAGGGGTGAAATGCGTGACGACACCAGCGAAGAGGGGATTCTGGATAACAAAACGATTGCCTATTCGAGGTCATTCCAAGTCCAGTACGGTCGATAAATAGGAAACTATTGCGATGAGGTTGGTTGTTGAGAGCCCCGCGACTAGTGGAGCTGAGAATGACGATCCTCGAGTCGTGTCACGATCGATAACGGCGCGGTCCGCTATCCACGAGTGGATCGAATTCCCCGCCGCAATCCATCATTTCGATCTCATGGATTGACTGGGGCGATGCTAAGATTGACTCTTGATCTTTCAGCAGAAGAATGCGCACTCAGTTCATGGCCATTTGACGTGCTGCTTCTTAGCCTGTCCCACGGCTCACAAAGCACGTCAGGATGAGTGGTGCAGTTTTCGGTGCTTTGGGTGTCTCTTCATTTTGGGAAGAGTTCCCAGGCTGACAGTTGATACCCCATAGCTGAGGCGAGTGCTCATCTAGATACTGTCCTTTGTGGCACGAGGATCTTCTGGCGTACTTATTAAAAAAAAAAAAAAAAAGGAAGCAGGGTTCTCTGGGAGTCGGTCTGCTTTTTGAAATGATCCTAGGTATATCCTCTCGATTCGTGCAGAATTGTCAGATTGTAGATTTTTCGGACAACAATCATTGGGGGTTCATTCATAAGATGCGATTTGTGCCCGCCTGTCGGATTTGGCACTCTTTTTCCAGGCATTGGCCCCGGGGGTCAGCTAGTCACCAGCGAGGTCTCCCAGTCCCATCGAAGACATGGTAAAATCCTCGATCAAGTTGAGCATGGGACCCAACTGAAGAAAACACCGAGCACCGAGCACCGAGCAGCAGACTCGACGCAAGACAGCATGCGAGACTTCGTCACTTGACCTCGTGGAGGCGGCGAAGTTGCCGCTGATGTGCATACGCCCAGGATGCCAGCTGCTGGCCTGCGATTGGGGGCAAAATACGAAAGGAGGAATTTCGCGGCGGGGAGAGTGCCTCATGTCGACTGTTGTCGCGAGAGCGGATGCGGGACTAAGGCACTGTCGACGCTTGCATCTCTTGTCAACTAGCCACGCACGGCAAGATGGGAAGATAGGACGAGGGACAACGATCATGAACCGCCTGGAGATGGGGATAGACAGGGCGACTACCGGACAGGGATGGCCCCTGGCAAGCACAGCACAATTTGGGGGAAGAGAAGGCACTTCCAGGCACCTGAGGAAGGGACCAAGGGGACCAGACACACACCTCTTTCCCCGCACGACCAGTAGCTAGCTGCATGATACCTGCCACCAGTAAAAACACGTCACTGTACTATGTATCCAACCCAACGTCTGTGTGACCCTCCAGAGCTTGGCCCGGATCGCGTCTTGATCCACTTCACCTAACCGCCTTCTTGTTTGACTCCGGATGCTCATACATACCTCCCCCAAAAGGGATGATTCAAGTTGAGCCCTCGCATCGTCTGATATCTGTCACTTTCCACTGTAGCTTGCATCGTTGGCTGGCGTCGCCCACCGTTTCAGCGTCTTCCTTTCCACTGTCGGCCAAGGTACCTACCTACCTTAGCCTGCTGGCCATCTCGCCAGTCGTCCTCTCTCGCCCTCTCTCGGACAACGACTAGCCTTCCCCGTCCGACTAGCCCTCATCAGTGACGATGAAGGCTAGATCAGTCCCGACTTCTAATCCCACACCTCCCCAGCCTCTCCGCGACCGTCGTCGCCCTCTCTTCACTGCCCCGTCTGTCCTCCTCATCTCTCTAACCCTGATCCTGACCATCACCCTCCTCCACCTCCACCCGGACGCATCACCGGCCTTCCTCCACATCCCCGGACGACCCCCGGCACCGGACGCTGCGCAATCAGTCATCCTGTACGCCTCGTCGTACTCTGGCACCGTCACCGCCCTCATCCTCACCCTCACTTCAGATGGCAACGCCACTCTGCGCCTTGTGTCCGAGTCGAAGGCTTGCGCGCCGAGCCCCTCATGGCTGACGCTCGATGCCAGTGACTCGGTGCTCTACTGTACCGATGAGGGCCTGATGGCCGATCATGGTTCCGTATCTGCATTCAATGTTTCCAACGGCAGGCTCGCCCTGTTGGGGAAAGTTGACACTGTCATCGGGCCCGTGAGTGCTGTAAAGTACGGCGACGAAGGCAGAGGCCTGGCCGTGGCGCAATAGTATGCAGTCTCCCCCGAAGTCTCTCTCTCAAGAGTCTGTGATGGCCTCAAACACTTGCTGACCTTGCCAATCCTGCCAGCATTGGCTCCTCGCTCACAACCATCAATGTGACAACCCTCTCGGCCCTGACACTCCTCAACACCACAACCTTCACCCTCCCCTCACCAGGACCTGTGCCCTCCCGCCAGGAGGCACCTCATCCGCACCAAGTAGCCATCGACCCGACCGGCCGCTTCCTGCTTGTTCCAGACCTCGGCGCCGACCTCGTCCGGGTCTACCTTATCGACTCATCGACCCTCGCTCTCCACTCCATCAAGCCTCTCATCACCGCTCCCGGGAGCGGGCCCCGTCATGTTGTCTTTTTTGAGTCTCCAACGGGAGCAACCTACCTCTATCTTGTCACCGAACTCGCAAACACGATCACATCCTACGCCGTCTCGTACTTTGGTAACGACGAAATTCGCTTCGACCGCGTTTTTCAGTGTCCCACCCACGGCGCCGGCAATACGGTCCCTGAAGGTGCTGCCGCCGCTGAGATAGCCATTTCCGTACGTTCTCGATCCCTTTGTCTACCAATTGCTTCTTTCCTCAAACATGTAGACTGACAGGAAGCAGCCGGACAATCGGTTCCTCACCGTCTCGTCCCGCAACGAGCGCTCCTTCATAATTCCTAGTCCCGACGTCGAGGGCCCAGACGCCACTGGCGCCGGAGATATCGAGTCCGACTCCCTCATCACCTACCTGATCAGCCCTGAGACGGGTGAACTAGTCTTCCTACAAAAGTTTCCCGCCGGCGGGCTCATTCCACGTCACTTCTCAACGAACGGGAATGGGTCGCTCGTTGCCGTTGCAGTCCAGCAAGACGGCCGGGTAGTTATCCTGAGGCGAAATGCCGAGACGGGGCAACTCCAAGAGATTATTGCCAGTATCAAGCTCGAGGGAGAGGTGACGGCTGTCATCTTTGCCGACAAGTGTGGGGTTTGACGTGACATTTGGTCGAAGCTGCACACGACTCCCTGGTCCCCTGACATGTAATGCGGTTATACATTCAAGTAGACGGAGCATACCTCGCGAAAGGGCTTTCACATGCCTGACCAGACCTGTAACTCTCAACTTGAAGAAACATGCTTCTCCACTGATGCATGACGTCCCAGCAGTGCCCCCGCCGTGCTGGAGACATTTCGCATCGCATGCAACCCCCGTGATGATGCTTGGGGACACAACCAACCCCGTCGCCGTTGCAACCTGTGACCGCTTCGCCCGCCCATGCCGCCCGTTCTCACCACCAAATTCTGTACCCACCCCACGGCATGATCCGGCGCGTCGTCCAGGTAATGCATCGATTACTGGCTCGCTGCCGCCACGGTTGCGTGCCTCTGGCCGGGCCTGCGAGCTCTGCATGGCAGAAAATGGGCGCCGCAGCCACCAGTCCACTTGACGCGAGCGCCCTGCAGCGCCACCGGCACGCGTGCGGGGGAAGGGGACCCAGAGAAACGAGAAAGGCTAAAGAGAAACGGCTCCAGGAGCCTCCGCTTGATTTTCTGCACACAAGCAGCTAGACACGATTGTGGGGAGGTGTGGGAGGAAGAGAGCCACGGCAGGCAGGCAGGCAGGCAGGCCGACCGTCATGGCATTCATTTCCTTTCCTGCTCCTCGGGGTGGAGTCGTGGGGTGCATCCGTCAGGTGAGAACCGAGCATTTCTTTCTCTCCCCGCGTTCAGCCGTCGAGCGGGCTACGAATACGAGTCCGCTGACAGTCCAGACTGGCGGAAGAAAAGGGAACCACGAAAAAAAGGAGCTATTGCAATCGAGTCGAGTCTAGACGACGTCGCTTCTCCACACGCGGGAGCAAGCGAGGTTGCTTGGATAGACTGGATGGACCCCTAGGCTGGCCTGGGCTGGATTGGCCACGTGAAAGGCGTGCGCTGCTTAATATACAGATATTACAGAATCGACGCCTCGGCGCGATGGGCTTTGAACGTCAGAGGAGATGGTGCAAGGAACGGGAGCCTCCCTTCATCGATGCAGCAATTATTTAGCAAGCCGGTGATACTGCCGAGTGTACGTCTTGGCCATCTTTAGACGCAGGACCCTGGAGTTGGTTCTTGTTGGTCGAAATGGGCAGCGATGGTCAGCTACCCATCGCCATGTCGAGGGCACCAGCCATCCCGGTGTCGCTTCGCACCCAGAAACTTATCAAGTTTGGTCGGCACTGGACACCCAGACTGCATTGTCGGTGATGGTCACCGCTCATCCTTGACAGCAGGACGGAGATGCGAAGGCAAGGTCCACAAGGCAACAGAGCAGTCGTCTGCATACACGGCTCAACCAAGAGTCTCTTACAGGCTTCTTTGCACGTTGGCACAGGCCACTTCGTCTTCAATGACCATTTCTAACCATTGACAGATGCTTCTGCTTTCCAATCCGAAAGCAACATCGCATTGTGAAGAGAGGAGAATGGCAAACGGTATTCGCATCGGTGATGGTTATAATATGCTGCCGTCAGCCTTGTCATCAAGATCGCGATCGAGTCATGTCGTTTTCCTTCAGGACACAACTAGCGCATATTATCGAGAAGCATGGAGGATTGGGCACCCATGGTATCTGGGGGAAATCTGGACCGATGTAACGGAAATCAGCTCATGTCTAGGCGGAAGAAACAAAACGACTTCTGGGGTACGGTGCTTGGAAGTCTTACTTGTGGAGGGCCATTGATGTCCTTTGCGTTGATGTGGCTTGCAGCTCAACAACAGCGAGCTCTTGACTAGCCACTTAGGTCGGCATGACAGATGCAGGCTGGTCACATTGGCTGTCGGCAAGGTTATTCTAGGGGCAGGGGTCTGCGGATGACGAGCCACGAGTGGCAAGTTGAAGCCCGCCTGCGCACTCGTGCCTTGTGGCACCGCTTCGGCGGCTAGCATCTCCGGGCCCAAAAGGAATGAGAAAAAATAACGGGCGCGTCTGATGCCTGACGTGGCCATACTCGTGAGCAGTAACGCAGGTAGCGAAACGAGTGTCACATTGCGCGATTCAAACGTCTTCAGGTCCTTTGTACGTATAGCCTCGTCGTCTTGGACATCGCTGCAATGTATGGCATTTTCACTGTCTGGTCGAGGCGTCTTTCAGATGGGTCTGGCCGAATCAGAGCGTACCATGTACACCAGAAAGCAACCACCCCCGTCTTGATGGTGGTCCGATTGCCGGACGTCAGATCGGCTGGTAGTACTCCGTTGAGTCTAGACTTACAGCAGGCCCCACAACAATACGCGACGTTGGCATGGAAGACTTGACTGACGACTGTCATCGCCAACCGCCATGATTGCGCTGTCAATCGTTCTGCGCGTATACGAGTAAGAATAAAGGTGATTGTTGGTGTCTCTAGAAAATCTCTCAGATGGTTGATGCGGTTGAACTTGGACAGCGACTGGTAGAAGTCACCGGGTCGTCGAAGCTCCCAAATGAGCTAGGAACTCTAGGGAATAACCTTTTTGGCTGTTGAATAGCGTCCGAGTTGTACGTTACAGAGAGGTAGAGACGATTCCAAAGCCTCAGTTTACCGCGCAGTGCGCGAAATAAACCTTGAGACCCTTGCCAATGCGTTTTGATCCTTGATGTAAATCTGGCTGGCAGGCTCGGGGTAAATATGCGGGCTTGACATGGTATGGACCACGCCAATACCGAGCAGCTGGACGGGATCGATGTATCCAATATACAGCTCTGCAATTCTGCAGCTGTACCGAAGCGCTAGGAGGGGATGTCAAGAAGAGCCAGATTGCTCACACCAACGTGGCTTCTGCGCAACGACAATTGTACAGCATAGACGAGATGCGGAAGCGAGAAGTAGCCGGTTGCCGAGTAAGCGGAGGCACGAGACAGGGGACAAATGCTGTCTGCGCTTCGCTTATCCAAGTTCCATATTGTCAGACCACAAGTGCCAAAGAAACGTGTGCGGGCGTATACAAAGAGCACCTTTGAGAGACATCTCTGGCCGAGCCATATGTGGTATGAGTGGGAAAGACGCCATCCGCAGCGAATAATTCAGGTCGACATGGTTTCTACGCTCTTCTCATCCTGAAGCCGACCAAAGGCTCCGGTGATTTTTGGCATACTGTGTGAGGGCTATTTGGGCAGGGAGGAATTTATCCTAAATATCTACCTTCGGATGCATTGGGAGGTCCAACACACCACACCCACAAAATCAGTACATACCATGGGCCCTAACGCACGTAGACATCAGCCGATAGCTGTGTTCTGCTTCGCTGGGTATATAGAGGCTCATGTGTTCGAAGAGAAACCGGGATCAGGCCTGAGCTAGGAGGCCTGAGTGAGGGTAAGAAAAGTTTGGCTTCGCGAAGTGATAGAGACTCTAGGTGCAAGTGACTCGATCTGGAATCGCAAACTCTCTTTCCGGAGGCGAAAGCAAATGAAGCAGATGTCAAGCCCGTCATGTCGCAAGATGGAGACGATGCATGTCGAGGAGGGTGTCAATTGCAAGGAGGTGGTGAAGCTGGATGGATGTCGTTGGGCCGTGAAGGGTCAAGCAGAAGAAGCTAATCTAGGTAGTCTCAGGGAACTTGCAGCGGACGATCTGTCTCGTGGGGCGCAGAGCGCAAAGAGCAAAGGCGCGTGCGATTCCTCAGTCGGAGCCGACGGATCCACACAGTCTGATGGAGGAGGTCAGCCCATCTCCAACGAGGTAGGCGCGGGCGCAAGAGAGGCACAGAAGAGGAAAGGGGGGGAGGGGGTTCATCCCGCCAAGTCACCACTGCCGCGTGGACCGCGGCGCCGTCTCTCTGGAACTACACGACGGTGGGCGACGCTTCGTCTCAGGCCACAGGAAGCACCCCCTTTCAGCACAGTGCCTTCTCGTCCTCTCGCTCTTGCCTCGCCCTACCTCTGGTGTCGTGTGGTTGCCTCCCAGCTGCCTCCCCCAGATTGCCCAGAATTTCGCCCAGATCACCAACATGCGCCCCCAAGTTGCTTTCATGCAAGACCTGCTAGTAGCTTCCGCCAGGGTCGACCTTCACCTGTAGACCGCAGCTTCTGCGCAGCGCACCACTGGATTCAACTTCCTTGCCCTCAGATGGATGGCGCGGAAGGCATTTCGGCCCCGACGAAGACAGCCAAGAAATTCAGCGCCCAGCCAGAGACGAATACATTTGTCGAGCCCTCGATCCAGCAACACCCGTGTGTGCCGTATGCCATTGGCAACTATATCGTTTTTCTCGCCGCATGGGGCGAAGAACGTGGCTATCCAAAAGCTTCCTCTTCTCGTGAGAAAGGGACAGCACTTCGTGTCGTGGCGTCAGGTCTCGTCCGGTGCTCATCTGCCCTGCCCCGGCTCGATGACTATTTCGACAGCACCGTTCCCGAACGAGACCGCCACATTGGATGGAAATTGAGGGGGTGGTGAGGTCTCATGGACGAGGTATTGCCTTGTACCCCCAACACATGGCGGACAGACGCAGGACCGTACGCAAGAAATCCACCCCCCCAGCTTTGTCCCCCTCCCCTACAATACCCTGGCCTGACCTGGCTCCTCCACCTCCGCTTCGAACAACCATCAAGACCCCAGGCGGCTGACCGGGGGTGCTCCTCCTGCGGTGTGGTGCGTCCGCCGACACCAGCGCCGACCACCAAGTGGCCGCCCAGACGGCCGCCTGTTCCTCGCCGACGGACTCGAGAATTTGGCACACTGACAGGGCCCAGGTCCGTTAGCGCCTCTCGTGGCCGTTCCCCATGCCATCCATCAGCAATTCCCCATCTCACCCACCCACCCCCTGGTCCCCTGTCCTCGTTCCCCTCCAAAAGTTCCCAAGTCTCCACCACTCCGCTCGCGAGAACCGCACGAGAGAGGACCTCCGACCAGGGCTAACGGCGACTCGCAACCAGGCAGCCTAGCGGGACCCTGGCCGTCTAATAGCAACCAGGAGGCCCTACCAGTACACTTAGAGACTAGAGACTGGGGCAACAAGCCGAGGAGCAAGATGTGAAGGTGACTAGACGGAGCTCTCTCCTTCGCTTCTCCTTCAAGAAGACTGCCCTCCCCATCACGCGCCTCCGCATCGTTTCTAACCGACGACTTGTCTTTCCATTGTCGTTTGGTGCCCACACCTCAAAAGACTGATCCCCCACCACCACCCAAAAAGCCTGAGATCACTCTTCAGATTCTTTCACGACCGTAGGATGCTGCCTCGATAACGGCAATCCGCCTCTCACTCAGTCACCTGGCGTTGTCGCTCGCAACTGGTGCACCACCTGCCGCCCTTGCTGCTGTTTGCAGTCTGCTGAGCCCAACGGACTCCTGGTGTATTCGCCACATTGTGTTGCTCTCGTCGCAGAGCACGCGCCATCGTTGCCCACTACGTCGGCTCCCAAGCGCATTCGCCTGACCCAGGAAATGTCCCCGTCCTCGACGGGCGACTCTCCCCCATCTGCTTCGGGGGCAGTAGTACGACCCTATCCCATGGCAAGCAGAGATAGCTTCCACATCGAAGTACCTTCGCCCTCATTGACGGCTGTAAACGGCACTCATCCGCTCAAGTCACCCTCGTCGCTCAAAAATCATCGCACGCCCAGCTTTAGCCGGGATGGTCTGATCAGTGCCGTGCAAAAGGCCAGAAACATGTCTCAATCATCCGACCAGCGTATCAACGGCTTCAGTGATATGAACAAAACACCCAGTGACGAGGGGTCGAACCCACTGAAGCGCCGCAACACCGATGCCGGAGTTGACTATCCGCGAAGGAGGGCTACCATCGCTGTATGTGTGACGCTCCTGACTGAGCTGCCACGAGCTTTTTTTTTCGCTGACCATATTTTCAGTGCGAGGTGTGTCGATCCCGCAAGTCTCGCTGCGATGGCACCAAGCCCAAGTGCAAGCTCTGCACCGAGCTCGGCGCCGAGTGTATCTACCGAGAACCCGGCATCAAGCTGGATGCAGGCGACAAGCTCATTCTTGAACGCCTTAACCGCATCGAGAGCCTTCTTCAGATGAACATGGTCGCTGCGGGCCTCCGGCGGCGGCATCCAGATTAGCACGAGTCACCATCAATGAGCAACGGCTCCGGACTGAATGGCGAAACCTAGTCGGGGTTGCCGGGACCACCAACTTTACTTCCATCATCCCCAGCGGGGGTCTGGGCACCTGGCATAACCCGCCCAACATCTCCACGATGCCCAAGATTCACACGAACGCGGCTTTACACCTACTGCAGTGGCCTTTAATTCGCGACCTTGTGTCACGACCGTACGATCCGCAAATCCTGCTACAGCTTGAGATGGCGCGAGAGCCGCTGCACTCGCTGACGAAGACGCCGTGTGTCGACCTGTCCAACACTACAGCATACATCGAAGCCTATTTTGACCACGTTAACGTATGGTACGCTTGCGTTAACCCTTACACCTGGAGGAGCCACTACCGGACGGCGCTATCCAACGGCTTCCGCGAGGGCGCCGAGAGCTGCATCGTCCTTCTTGTACTGGCTCTGGGACAGGCCAGCTTGCGAGGAAGCATCTCACGCATCATGCCTGGAGAAGACCCCCCCGGACTGCAATACTTCACCGCTGCATGGGCTCTTCTCCCGGGCATGATGACTTCAAATAACGTTCTCGCAGCACAGTGCCACTTGCTGGCTTCTGCGTACTTATTCTACCTAGTCCGCCCCTTGGAGGCCTGGAACCTGCTTTGTACTACCAGCACGAAGCTGCAGCTTCTTCTCATGTCACCGAACAGGGTACCGCCCAACCAGCGGGAGTTGACCGAGCGCATTTACTGGAATTCTCTCCTCTTCGAGAGCGATCTGCTGGCAGAGTTGGATCTCCCGCACTCTGGGGTGGTCCAGTTTGAAGAGAACGTCGGACTTCCCGGTGGCTTTGAGGGAGAAGAACAGGAAGCGATTGGACGGGATGATCTTTGGTACTT